AAATTTCGAAAATAAACATGTTATCATAGACAAAGCCAGTCATGTCAAGTAAGGTCAACTAGGGTCAAACTACGTTTTTGCAGATAACGCGACAGACAATGAAGCTAGAGCTTCAAAAATGGTGTCGTTGTGTTCTTCTTCATCAGCCGAGTCGAATGATATGCAATATGATGCATTAACCCATTTACGCCCTTCGTTGCGTTTTCGCAACGCAAGCAAGCGTCGACGTGATCGAAGCTTGAGAAGTGTGTAAAAGAGACTAACCGATGAGACAAGTTTCAGCGTGTGTAGCATGGTTGTGCGCATGATACTACGCAGTTACAAGTCTGTGCGGCCGGTAAGTTACTGCCTAGAGCTCCCAGAGGGAAGTCGAAGGTTTTGTGAGTGATGACGTCACGAAAACCAAGATAAGTAGGCTAAGTGCTTAATAATATCGTAATGAAAATTGTGTAAACATATTCTGCAGAGTCCCTACAATAGCGTAGATATGCATTTTGTTAAGAAATAATGCTACAAAAAGGGTTTGTGACTATTTTCAAATATGACTACGGTCGCGTTGCGGGAACGCAACGAAGGGCACATCGGAAAGACAGCGGTGTTGCGAAAACGCAACGATGGGCACATTGGCAGGGTAGCGGAAGTATGAATATCAACAGTAGACTTCACTCGTGATACGCTGTGGGTTCTCTCTTTCTCTCCCCCATCTTCCTCCCTCTCCTCCTCGTTCCCCAACTCTCTCCTCTCTCTCTCTCTCTCTCTCTCTCTCTCTCTCTCTCTCTCTCTCTCTCTCTCTCTCTCTCTCTCTTTCTCTCTCTCTTTCTTTCTCTCTCTCATTTTGTAGCCATGAGGCTGTAGCGGCGGAACATCTTCAATTAAGGGGGGGGGGGAGCACTGCTGACTTTTGGTCTCATTCTTTCCATTTCCATTTCCATGCAACGCCTATCGGGATAATGTTAAAATGGCAAAATCAAGGGGGGCACGGTGCCCCGGTGCCCCCTCCCCCCGCTGCGCCGCCTATGCCATGAGGGACGTATATAGGTATGTTTAGTGCAAGGTGCGTTCGCACGTAAAATGTTGCGACACATTTCATATTTGCTGGCTCAAACAGCCACAAACACTCCTTTCTTTTTTTCTCGCAGATTTTCGGCCTCGGGCTGTTCGTTCACTAAGCAATGTGTTCCCATGCATCTGAAAATCGCATGGTAGGAAAAGGACCCATGCATCAAACAGTCGGCGATGCTAACGGAGCTGAGAGATAATTAGGTCCTTTGGAAATTGGATCTACTATGTACATTGTGCATAAATAATGAATAACGGGGATGTATTCTGGTATCAGGCGACAGATAGGCATCGCCATTCTCTGGATAGAATCTGCTGACTACCAGCATTTACGTTAGAAAAGATAACTGAGGGTCGGCAAATAGTGGGATAGGCCCCCTCTGAGGGTAGCTGAGCCCTTCGGCAGGGGTAATGAGGGCGGACCCATGGGAAAATAATAATTTTTAGGATTCATAACTCGCATAGATTCATAAGCTGCTTGATGTGGAGTATACGTCTGTTTTCTTACTTTGATAGGCTTTTTATCTAATCAGACCATTTTTAGAGCTAGCAGGATTATTGGAATTAGGGGAGACATTTGTCTGACCGGACACGGTCAATCGTAGACTGGAGACTGAGCCCAGCCAGTGGGCAGCCGCCACCCATAACCCACCCCCTTCCCCCCTCCCAAGCACTCACTGCACCCGGCTACAGGCGCGCTCCTATGTGAGCTGCCCGATTGCGATATACGTTGCCGGTCCAGCCCGGAACAGGGGGATGAGGCGTGGAGGAGGATTCAACTATCCTGAAGATGGAAAGGACGGATTGACGTCGAATCACCATTCTGTCCTGGCATTGTCTCGAGAAAGAGGTTACACGTGAAGGTCGCTGAGAGTGGGGCCATGAAAATTTTGGATTAGGTGTAAACATGATAAACTGGGAGTCGATTTGTTGTGATGCGCTATACGCCTTACGCGGGTAATTTGTTAGAGCCGGATCGGTCCTTTTTTCTTTTTGCTGAGAGTGGGTACGACTAACCTGCAATGGAATTTAACTTTACTCCTAGGAGGGTGGTTAAAAATGATTGCGGATATGCGTGCATACGAGAGGCACTGGTTTACTCCCAATCCTCCGTTTAATTGTTTTCAGTGTGCACTGTGCAGGGTCTGATAGGTGGAGGTAATGGATCTGTCTAGCTTCCAAAAAGAAAGCATCACCCTGGATACGTGTCGACCACAACTTTAAATGAACAGCAATGGACAACGTAAATGGTTGATAATGACCGTGTTGCCATCTCCCCGTTCGCGAATCATGAAGTTATGCTTCCTCACTGAGGCTCTTAGGCGGGTTATAGAGCATGACGGATGTGGGTTCCGCATTTTCAAGCAATAGTTGTCAACAGTTGATTGATGTTTTGTCAAAACATATTAGCATATACGGCAGTTCAGTGTACTTTATGTCCGTCTGATGTGCCCGTCGTTGCGTTTTCGCAACGCTGATGGCGCCCGGTGTGCCCTTCGTTGCGATTTCGCAACGCATGTTTTTTACGTTTTTCTCGAGAAACTTTTGCTGCAGGCAAAAATTATTTTCAATTCCATACAAGGCCCTGGTAGGAGCATAACATATTTTGATTTCGTCGATTTTCATGATGGTCAATATTCCTGGGCATAAATGGGTTAAGGTAAAAAGAAAAATAAATTTTAAGGAATTTTGAAATACACATTTTTTGTCAATTTTGCATCACGATTTTCATCGACCTGTACTGTACATGTAGTAGACGCTAACTAAAATACCAGTTATGACATAAACTCTAAGATGTCCAGAGCTAATCAGTACCTTAATATTTCACTTTCCGTTAATATTTGGAAAACACATAATGGTTTCATCAACTCGTTGTAGGTAAAGCGCTGGGGAGGTGGCCGGCGTTACCCCTATGCCGGGCTTACCCCAGAAAAATCAGCACTTTTTTAAAACTCGATTTTCTCAACCTTATACTTATTCCACGAAACCGAATTTTTGGGAAAACACGGCCAATGAACTTAGCTAGCTAGCAGGATATCAACATTTTATACAGCACGTATGGTACCTATGTAATAAAAATGAAAAAGAGCTTACTATGCCGGGCTTCCCCCGGCTTCCCCTATAGCTGCACGTTTTGTGCATAAGGTCCGGTGAGAGCCTAGATTTGCAAGCTTTTTTATTTTACTTGAGTTTGTCTTGTCAGTGACCACGGTGGAAAAACAAGTGGCCGAAATCCAATGAGAAAGGCAAATTTGGGGGTACCCTACCTTGGTAAACCCCCGTCACATACCGTCGTCCGCCGCCTTTTGGGCCCTACCAATCATTTTCGGAAAACGACACCCCTGGATGTGAGTGATGTTTGGTACCGGTGTTGGTGCTTTTGTAGTGCTGGTGTTGGTGCCTTTATAGTGCTGGTGTTAGTGCTGTTGTTGGTGCTGGCGTTGGTGCTGGCGTTGGTGCTGGTATTGGTGCTGGTGTTGGAGCTTTTATAGTGCCGATGTTAGTGCTAGGAGATACTGGTGCTGGTGCTGATATTGGTAATGGTGTTGGCGCTTTTATAGTGCCAGCTTTGGGGCTGGCTGATTCTTGTGCTGGTATTGGTATTGGTGCTGTCTGCTGATAGATAGGAACTGGTGCTGTTATTCTTGCCGATCTGCTGGCGTTGGCGATGCTTCTGATGGCAATGATGGCTGTCATTGGTTAGAAAGGTGCATTCAAGTTTGATGTACCTACAGGATTAGTGTTGTGTCGATGATGGAGAGCATTTTTATTGACTATTGAGTCGACGCTTGTGTAATGAAATTAAAGACTTGAAACACAACTGTGATCAATTAAATTTGAAAACGTAGCATATCAATGCTAAGTATGATTGTAAAGAAGTCGATCAACCACCTTTTGCAGAAAGTGCAACACAAACTTAGTTCGTCATTCATTCGTCACATCGTTCCACTATGCCATTCATTCACAGTTTCTGAAGTGCCGCAACTCTCAATCTTGAGTAAATTTACTTCAGCAATCTAATCTAACTTTCTGATATGTGCTATCACCACGATAGTTTATCTGTAAGCTACCGTCAGTGCCAAGGTTTGGCCGCGAGTCCCTATCAGTGTTCCTATGAACTTCGTAACGTGAGGTGTTCGTGAAACCGTGCGAGTGCGAGAGTTTGCGAGACTGCGATATTGTGTTGGTGGTGTGTGATTGGTTGGGATTTGTTCGTGTAGCTGTGATAGTAGTGGTGTGTTGAACAAGACATGTGCTGTGTTAGGTAGTGGTTGCACTTGGGTGTAAATGTGCAAAATGTTGGCGAGACGATTTGGTAAGCCAGATAGCATACTGAAACATGACAGAGTTGTTCATTGGCGCACTGTTTTGGACTGTTGAAGGTTTCCAGTGTTTACTTTGATCATTCATTTGATACGATGATGTTGTATATAATGGTCTAATATTTTATCATAGTAGTTACTTGCATTAGGTATAATCAAACCAGCTGGTGAATAGACACTCCGTTTCCACTGAGAGAACGCAAAACTCACGGCTCACACTCTCCTACAATGACAGTGGATGATGGCATACCTCAGTGCTAATGACTGATCTGGTACACATACATTATGGAATGCAATATTTCTAACACACATGGCTGACATAACGGCAACTGAGACAAAAGATGCCTACTCAATTTGAATACCGCGTCTTTGTCTACATTCAGTTCAGCCTATCTGATCGCAAGGTGGGCTTTTCTTTAGCATGCTTCAACCATCATGTAACCCATCGCATTATCAAAGCCTGTCAACTTTTTTCCTGTCCCCGCATTCTTCAAACCTATCTGTAAAACCCAGGCTATTTTGTCGTGTGAGTACACAAAGCTGTCACCTCACCTGCCCGTGTGCACAACGCCAGTGTACTGCGTGGGAATGACCTTGACCGTAGCCCTCTGGCGGCAGGACGGTACAACTATCAGGGCGGCGGCTACTCCAGTGAACCGGAAGGAGGGTACGAATCTGACGGAGGACGTCGGGGAGTGTTCGGCAGAAACGCTGATCAGACAGACGAGTGAGTAGCTGGGTTCGATTCCCGGGGGAGGGCATTGCTTTTTCGCTTCCTTTGCATTGAACAGTGTCAGAGTTGGGGCAGGTTCTTGTCTACAGATTGGCAGAACCATTTAATTAATGGACAATGATAACTTATGTGAGCTGTGCAAAATAATGTGAAATGTTTCACCTCATCTCTACCCCGTGACCACATCACACTCCTTTCATTTCAATGTACGAACATCCACTGGTTCAGCCTCTTGCACTTGACCTATAGTCACAACACCTGACCCTCCCCCCTCCCCACTTCCATGTGGCCTACCCCCCCCCCCCGCCCCGTCAGCTGGCCTAACCCCCAGCTCCTATTGAACGACTGTTGGTCACATGACATCAACCGACCGTCGGCGCCAGGGTCACGTGATGAACGGTCGATTGCGGTGTCGCAAAGTCTGTGGGGAGGTGCTCCTTAAGTCTCAGTCACGTGGTGGGGGCTGACACGGTGAGAGGTGTTAGTGGAATGTTGGTAAGACGACATAAAAAGGAGTTGATGCTAGTACAGGTGTGTACGAGGGTAAATGCGAGCGCGTGGCGAATGTAGGGGAAGTTGGGGCAATGCCGGAGTTGGGGCAAAGCCGAAATTCGAGATATTTCTAAAACCGTACGACATGGATGCCACGTCTCAGTGATGCTCTGAAGCTTAAGTGACTACAATTGTCGCATGTTTGTTACGAGTTGTCATTTGGAATACTTCGGCTGTGAGGGCGCCAAAAGCGTTTTCAAGGTACGTTTCCCTTGTACTACATGCGCCTTTGAAGCTGCATTTCTTACTCATTATGCTACCGTTTGTCTGGCCAATTCGGTCAAGTAATCTTCAGCATGTCTTTGCATAAGTGTGCTGCCTATTTGAAATTTATACAGCATGTTTAAAAGTAATGGGCCTGCAAATGAAAGTATGGCTGGCTGGGGTAATGCCGAAAACGTGCAATTACGCACGTTAAAGCACGCTACGTGGACTTTACTGCTGTAGAATAGCAACGCGTATTTTTAGTCAAACAAATTACACTTTCAGCCGGCACAACGGCCTGTTACCTATAAGGAATGATTTACCTAGCTTTTTTTTATTATATCACACAATTATAACTTCCAGTGTGCACCAAGCGTCCTCAAGCTCTTAAAACGCGTGTCAGCTTTGATGAATTTTGGATAAAGTTTGAGATAAATTGGCAAAACATCAATGTCTGCATTCCTCGTAGATCATTTATCCCATTTTCGGCTTTCCCCGCAGTCCGGGGCAACGCCGAAAAAGTCAGTTCTTTGATATTTTTAGTTTTTGCGCTTAACGGTATGCGAATTCATCAAATGCGCCTGGTATGTTTGAAAGACAAAAGACTGGCCTCTCGAATGACGCCAACAAGAATAGCTTATGTTGTCTACCTTGCGTGCTACGGGCGTCAGAAAAAAAGTATTCGGCGTTCCCCCAACTTCCCCTACTCTTTTACGTCGGGGAATAATCGTGCTTTGATGCATCACAATATGTGGAATAGTATGTTGTGTATTTAGTGTGCGTTGGTGCTCTTTTCGCCTCGCATTGGTGTGTGCGGGGAGTATTGGTATCAGTTGAAGTTCAGAAAGGTTTGCCGAAGTTTTCTTGAAAATGCGTATTCGCGGAGGTTGTGCTTATATGTTGTTTTCCGTATCAAAAAGCATAGACCCGGGAACAGGGGGGGCAGCGGGGGCGCTTGCCCTCCCAACTTGGGAGCCGAGGGGGCGGCGCCCCCTCAACATTGAGGCAGCGAGAAAAGATCTTTCCTCCCTTTTCCGGACTTCTTTCCTTCTTGTTTCCTTTATACATCTACACATCAACACGCGGCATTTCCTTGCCATCCGAATGGTTTCTGCTGATACAGTATCGATTTGACAACATCTGCTATTGTCATCCCGCTTTGATTTGGGCCTGACCTTGGGCGTAAGTTTGGCAGGCCAGATTCTATACTGCACCAGCTTGAGTCAACTTTGAGAAATACATAACGTATGTACAACGGTGGTAAAATCGTTGCTATAGGTATAACACAGTTTACCCGCTCCGGGTGTGATGGAGGGGTGTGGGGCAGCCAATGAGTGCACTGACGTGGCGCCCTCGGAAGGCCGGTATGGGATTAAAGCTCAGCGACACTAAGGGCTTGTGTGGTGCCTTCGGTTATCGGGTGCACCCTCAGAATCACCGGCGTAGGGCCCTCAGAGCCGCCGGTAAGGGGCCTTTAGAGGCACCGGTGTGGGACCGCCATGCAGGTGCCGGTGTGGCGCTCAGAGATGCTAGTGTGATTCTCTCAGAGGCGCCGACGAGGGTCCTTACAGGCGTTGCTGTGGGCCCTCATAGACGCTGATGTGGAGCCGTTACAGACGGGTGTGGGGCCTTTAGAGCTGCTGATGCGAACTCTCTACAAGCCGGCAGGGGGTCTCAGTGACTGGCAAGGGGTCCTTAATCCGACAGAAGAAGTCCTGTGGGGTCCTTAGAGACCGGCATGGTACTGTCAGACGCCGGTGGGGCCCTCAGAGTCACCGGTGTGGGGCCCTCAAAAGTCACCAGTGGGTGGCCTTTATCTATGCGCAGGTGTTGGTTGGGTCCTCAGAGCCGCCGATATAGGACTTTAACCCACGAGCCGCTGGGGGGGGGCATAAAGTTGCCCCCCCTTTACGTTTTGTAAAATATCTCCGAAACCTGATGAGCTACGAACGTGAAACTTGGCATAGCTTCAAATGAATACCTAGGCAATGTTTGAGGAAAGTTTGGTGGTTGTAGCACCTAAGATGACGTCACAGTGACGTCATAAAGTTTTGTCGTTTTCCGATATGGACCGTTTCTGATGACGCTGAGCATGAAACTCAACTGTAAATGAACTAGACAGCACCTGCTGTCATCCTAAAACATTAAACTACACTTCCATCTAGTTTCTGACCAATAATCGACCCTTTACATTCGGTCCCATATATCTGATGTATCGTGAGGAATATGAGAGTCGCAAATCTATAATTTCACTTATGACGTCACTGTGACGTCATTTCAAATGGGATCGACACCAAATTTGTACACAACCTCGGCTAGGTATTCAGGAAGATGTGTGCAAAGTTTCGCTTCTCTATCTCTTCGCGTTGCGACGATATCGTCGCAGAAGTAAAGGGGGGGCAACTATATGCCCCCCCCCAGCGGCCGGCGGGTGGCGCGGAGGCCCAGCGGCCGCCGGGTTAATAGGCACTGGTGTAGGCACTCAGAGTTGGGGGTGTGAAACCCTCAGAGACACCGGTGTGGGCCCTCATAGGCGCCGACGAGGGCCCCACAGTTGCCGTTATGGGGCCCTCAGAAAAAATAAGTGTGGGACCATCACAGGCGGGAAATGCCCCTAGAACTGGCCCCTCATAGGCCGGTAAGACCTCTCAGAGGCCAGTAACGGGCCTTTAGAGACCACCGAGGTGCCCTTAAAAGCCGCAAGAGGCCCTCAGAAGCCGGCGTGGGGCCCTTAGGGAGATCTTCGTGTGGCTATTTAGGGCCCATGAGGTGCTCTAACGAGCCCCATGGGGCCCTTCTGAGTAGAATATGGCCATCGTTAACCCTCAGCGGTCAAATGGCGCCTTAGGGCCCCTCGGATCCGATGGTCCCTTTAATCCGATGGGGGGGGGGGTACGTGTCCCCTTAGACGCCTAGCTACGCCACTGTTTCATATGCATTATGTCAGGCATTTTAGGCTCGCCCCCCCAACTTGAAAATCGTTCCCGGGCCCCTGTGACAAAAAGTGTTTTAGGTTGCGTATAATAGATAGACAAGATGGCTCTACAATTGAATGCGGGATATCAATAGCTAAATGCAGCAGTTTGTTGATGTTCGTGCCCGCAAACATTTATAGCAAACGTTTATAAAAACGCAAGACTCTTCATTGCATCAGCTACAAAATGTTCGGATCGTTTCATGATCCATAGCTATTGCCAATTTCGTCCAAATGAGTATGATTGATGAGCCGTAAATTGGTCGTGGTGTGCGGGCCGTTAGGGCTTGAGTAGCTTTGCGGAGGCTGTAAATTTGAAAACGATCCATCACTAATGCTAACAAGCCGTGAAAACTGTTCCATGAAGTGAATGCTTGCGCAATTATAATTTTCGAAGTGCGAGGTGAGGTTGTACTGAATGTTTACTGTTGAAGTATTGCAACTATAAGACACTTTTTAGCGGGTTTATATAATGATGTATATCCTTTGTCCATTTGTTTTCGTATGGGAAGATCAAGAACTTCAGTTATGAAATAGCATAGCTCAAAAACAAAACATAACTTGCACAGTGACAACACTTCGATCATCACACACAGAAGAGACAAGATAATATGTCCACGAGGGATCGTGACAACATCTCTGATTTTTCTCCCCTCTATCCCCGATTTCGTCTGACCCATCGCTCTATCTCGTTCCCAGCAGTTTCCGGCCGTCCTCCGTTCAGAAGAAGCCACTGTACCGGAACCAGCCGGGCAGGATTGAGGACTACCTACCGGGACACTCATCACTCGCTGAACGAGAGGCACGGGAGGTGAGTTAGGAGTTGTATAACTCTCAGAACGAATCGAATGAAAGGTGTGAGTGTTTATTTCACAGAGTGATAGGGAGATTTTTAGCTGTTTTTTTACGTGCTGAGCGAATGAATTGCTGGTGATGTCACTTGCCGGAATGAGTCACGTGTCGAACGAATGAGTTTATGAGTGAGTGAATGAGGGAGGAAATGATAGAGTGAATGGCTGCGCGAACTAGATTGATATTTTCCCTAGTCAGTTTAACTCATAAATTCACTGTAAAATTATTTCCATCCCCAGCAATTTTAGGGCGGTTCAGAATGAAATACAGCCATTTGTTCAGTGCAATAAAACTTTTGCGCTATTTTCATAACTAACATTTATCCCATGTCGAGTCTATTTTGGCTCCAGTGTCGGCTCTCTATGCATGCTGAATGCTGCCACCCTAGCCCGCGTACTAGGTCACCGTTTGCCCACCTTTTTTCCCACGTCCTGCCGTTTCCAAACACAATGGCCCATGTCATCAATCTCTGAACGGCGTATTCTACGCTGTCTTTTGTTCGCGTTTAGCCGTACTTCCGGCTGGTAAATCATGCTTAGTTGATCATTTGGACGTCATTTTTATTGCTGAGTTTTATGACAGTTGACAGAATGTATCGTTCCTAACCACGCGCACGTTAATTCAGATGTCAGAATTTGACAGTATTATTTGCGATTTGTTAGATTTGCTCACTTTTGTGTCATATGCGTTCGTGATGCAAGCAGTTACATGCCCGTTTACAATGAGGGTAGTTGGAAATAGCGTGATTTTACGCTTGTTATAGCACGCACATTATACGTCTATTTGGACATTGGGTTATTCCTGAAATTGAGTCACTTTGATTGCATACACCAAGCAGTTCAAGTCTGAATGGTCATCTTTGGGCAAACTATTTTCACTATCTCCATGAGGCCTCCTCAGTCAAAATTTACCTAACAAAACAAAACCACAGTAGTTTATCGCATTACCCTCGTAACACGCCAAAAGTGCAGCGTTTTAGCGTGCCGCTGTTGATGAATTACGCCGTCCTTGATTTTCTCGGTCCATCGCCCGCGGCTATCGTCTGTCTGACACCATGATGATTCAACAGATTCACGGGGCCATGGTGGATGTCGGTATCTGTATGGACAATGTATGGGGTTCGACGGGAGCTGAACGGTCGTGGCAAACTGACGTTCAGATGTTTACCTATAGGTGTTCTTATTTCTTCCGTAAATTTGTGAATGGAAACACGAAACAGGAATACAGCGTGCTACCCTTAACAACATACTATGTTAAAGCATGCCAATTTATCATATCCAGAATATGCAACGCAAACTATAACTGTCCCCTAGAAAGTCTCAGTTTGACTTGGCTTTTCCTCCACTTTGCTAATCTGAAGGCCGACTTTGCTCTGCTTTTCGCTACCATTTCCACATAGACTTCGTCCGTGTGTAACGAACTTAGCGCGCTCCGAGTCAGGAGTTTCCATCGTCAAACTTCTGTCGCAGTCCATGAATAATTTATGTCAGTTATTTGGAGAGCGTATAAGTGTCTAGCGGAAGACGACTGAGCTTAGCAACTCGTTGGAAGCTCTATTGAGCGAGGTTGAGTCGCAGTCTCAGCTGAGTTTTACAGAAGCTTGGCCGAGGCTAGAAAGGACTCAGGCTTAAATGAAGGGTAGAATTAAGCTCAGGAGGATTTGACCGTAAAGGCTGCGTGTGCGAGAGTGACAGGCTATTATAGCGGTGTAATTTAGAAATGAAATGTGGCAGCAGTGCGTGCGATAAAGTCATTTTGGTGGGAGATTCAAGGTGTCGGCTTTCTCGGTAGGGATATAAATAGAGTTAGACTTAGTTGTGCGATGGAAAGAACGATCTTTTACCTCTGAAATTATCAATATGTCCGTAATACGCGAATTTTATTTATGCTTGGTGCATGTTTTGCGTAAGTACTTGCCCTTTATCCTCCGATACGACATAAAACCTCATTAAAGGGCGCTGTGCTCTAAAACTCCCGTTGTATGACGTGCTTAAGTTGTCTAATAAACGAAACTCCATAATCTGAACCATACCATGTGTGGCCAACGGCTACTTAGTTTTCAGGGTTTCCTTCTCAACAGTCATGTTTCATTTGTTTTGTTTCAGTTTGTTGACGACATAATACACAACATTGACACGGTATGCTTGTGTAACGTATTGTCCCAGGTTTCAACAAATATCTTAAAAGTTTTTGAAAACCTGTATTTTCGTACAGGTACAACCTATGAAAACTACTGGTTCAAAATATATGAGTGAGCTGAAATCATTAGGGGAGAGTGGTGCAGGAGGCCCCCCCTTAAGCTCAGTTGCTATTTTTAGACAACTGATAATATTTAAGAGCTAACGTGTGCATGCGCTGTGAGCATGCATCATTTTCCCATACATATTTGCATTCAAAATGAATCTAGGGGGTACACAAACCGTAAACTTTAACATTTTGGAAAAAGTTGCAAAAGGGCCTCTTACACTATGGGTATGGTAAGACGCCCCCCCCCCTCGGGCGTTTAACAAGGCAAGTCGACTTGTAAAAGACGTTTTGCGAACACAGCTGCAAGGCCTTTTATTTCGAAAAGCTAAGCAAATACGGTGTTATCGAAACCAATAACACTTCCAAAGCGCTCGAACAATGCGAAAACTAGCACAACCAAACGCTGATGACCAACGAAAATTGTACCTATTACCTCTAGAAAAAGAAACAGAAAAAAAGAAACAAAAACAAACTCCTTGAAAAAAGAATGCCACGCCTGCCGCAGGTGCAGGCGTTTTAGCATCGGGGGCGTTTTTTATCGGGGGGGGGGGCGTTTTATAATCCTCGAAGGGAGGGCCTCTTAAAAAAATACAGTGTTTTAACGTCACAATATTTATGGTTTATGAGACATTTGCAGCGCACCACAACATGGTCTATTCTGAAGCTAACATGTGACAATTTCGATGAGATAAGATTGCATTTGATAGTCATTGTTTTTTCAGATATATAAGGGTGATAAAGATGCATATATCTAGCAAGTAAAGGGGCAAAAACAGAAACAGGCTTACCAAAAGTCGCTGCGACGCACCTGATACCTCAGGTTTCGTGAGTTGTTGTTTCAAGAGGGCTTCTGCTTTACAAGAACATTAAAAAATAAATAACATTATTGGTTTGGTAAAAAAAGCGATGGGGCCTCTTACCGACCCTGGGCGTCTTACACGGATCTCCCCTAAATAGCTTCACTATGGCGTGCAACAGCTCAGAATGGTTATAAACTCTATAGACGGTTTGTCTTGCTTTTGATGTTTGCTGAAACCTGGCACATATTTTCCATGTGCTTCAGCTTGTTGTCCATTGTCCACGGTATTGTGGGGACTTTTGTGCGCTGATTTCTCTTCGTTGCTGATACTGTGATTTGTTCTACCAAGTCATTCTCTATATTCTTGGAATGATGATGTTAGAAATCATCTGCTTTCGTAGTGGTGAATAAATGCAATTAGGAGTGCTGGTAGTCCTGTCCACTCTCTAGTCTTGGGCCGAATAGTATCTGTCTACTGAGATCCACAATTGATGGTGTGTTGATTGATTGCTGATTGCAATTGATTGCTGAGTCCCGTCTGTTACTTGGTAACCCGCGCCCTGATGGGGGGCCATTTTGCCCCCCCCCCCCCCTCCCTGTGGTTTTTCTTAAATAGCGAGAAAACGGCTGCGCGCAGCGCCGCCAAATTTTGGGTACCTTACCGGACATCAATTTGACACCTTCACACAAAATTTCAAGTCACAGGTCACCTCAGGTCAGGAGTTATTGAGGTCAAACTGAGGTCATGTTCGAGTAAAAATGAGCAAAAAACATGACATCTTGAAACGCTCACCAATTCTACAGTTAACAAGCAATTTTAAAGTTCTTTATGTGGTTGTGTAGAGAAAAAGAGGCACTACAAAACTTCTATCTCGGATTTTCGAAATTTTTGGATTTTGACCCCCAAAAATAAAAAAAATGATTTTTTTTTAGAAAAACTCAAAAAATTTCCAAAAAAATTTTCGAATTTCGAAAAACCGGAATATATGTGATAGTCCCTGCGCTCTTCGATATACATACCAAATTTTAGATCGATACCTCTTTTTTTGGCCAAGTTATAGCGAAAAAACTGTTAAAAATTGATGACGTCAAATTTTTGAACTCAATTTGTAGCAATTCTAGACCTCGTAGCGCAAAACGGAGACCACCATTGAACTCCCCGTGACGAGCTGCATCGAATCGATACCCATTTTATGCAAAAATATCAACTTTGAAATTTGACCTAATTTGACCTGACCTTGACCTGACCTTGACCTGACCTTGACCAAAACGTGACCTAAGCTGGCCCTAAAGTCTGTCTGACCCACATAATCGCATTTGTCATGTAAAATGGACCATAAAACATGTATCACACGACACTTTCATATTGTGACCCCCCAGTGACCTGACCTCTGTGACCTGACCTGGTATCAGTGACCTCAAATAGCAAAATATGTGTTTGAAGAACATTTCCCCATCGATAATTTTCAATGAAATGCATTTTACACGATTTTACAACGCATTTCTTGAAATGCCTGTAAACGGTGAAAATTCGACCTTTGACCTCACCTGTGACGTCATCGGTTTGACCGAGGTCAATGAAGTTGGGTCACAAGGTAGTTCCCCGTTGGGGCTATCCAACACCGTTTACCGCTTGTCGCTATGTTGCGTGGTTCTCGAGATCTGAGGGGGGAGGGCCAAAATGCCCCCCCCCCCCCATCAGACCGCGTTGCTCGGCAGACCCCATCTGGGCGCGGGTTAATTGTATTGTTTGTGTATTTTTGTTTGTCATTGTTTGTGGTGGTGGAGGTGGCGTTGTTTTACGCTTAGCTCAGTAACTTGCACCTCTTATCATGATCATACATACAGTATACACCGCTGTTCTCTGGTCCAAGTGACTATGGCGCTTTCTGACTATTCTTGTTTTTCTATTGGCGATAAGGCTTTGACTGTAACGAGAATTCATGGAATTCAACGGAATAATAAGATGTTGGCAAGCATAAATCATATCAGCTGCATTTATGAAAGAAATACGTGTTCAGTCGTTCATCATTTGAAGCAAAACTTATTGTTATTTCGATTCCGTAAAATATGATTAAAAACGTTTACTGGTAGCCGGACCAATCCCAGCAAATGAAATCCGTGTACCTGCTGAAATCCGAGCAAAACCTTTTGTGGTGCAAGACTGCATTTGGCCCCCGGCACTATCCAACACCGCCATTCTGAATCCACCAACACGCTGCCACCATACCAGCGCTTCCCGCTATTCTCTCTTCCCGAACCACCCCACGCATTTGGCGTCTAGCCCTGCACGCAACGCTGTTTTGGCGGCAATCATCCGAACGCAGCGGCGTTTGTGGCGCGCCAGTCCACGCCAGGCGGCCAACGTGGCGCGGCCGGAAATTGGGCCGACGCCCCCCCCCAGAAGCCCCCCCCCCCCCAGCAGCCCCCCCCCCCAGCAGCCCCCTCCACACATCCCCTCTCGTTCTGGTCAGGGGTGGGGGTTGACTGGACTGTGTTATGCAGATGATCCTACTGCACAGTGCAATGGATACAGAGAGGTATCGGATATTCATGAATCATTAAGCCCTGGGAGATAATATAAAAGGATGTCGCCAACTTTTGTTGTTGCAATGCTGACGTAACGTAAGGGATGCAGTTAGGATTTTCCAATACTTGTAAGTAGGTACTATCGTATTCGCATAATGCAGGCAATGGTACATAAATCCTTGTTCATCCAGCGAGTAGCCGGTTCTAATTCTGTCTTCTCTCACGGCTGTGAGGGGCTTTCCTCGCGTGCTCCCTGTTCCTCACTAGACGTCACCATTTTATTAGATAACTCCTGCTGGTTTTAATGGCTTAATTACCCCCTGTCAACAAACTTGGATCAACTCTAATATCAGTCGTCTTTGACCTGAGCGTTCTGTGGGTGGGGGTAAAGCTTGAAGGAAGACAAACGGGCTATTTTGTGTGTGAAAATTTCTACTTCTCCCGCTCTTGGTGGCCATATAGCCTCGGTCATCGTTAAATCTAAACTCTCTAGATAATCCCGCGGATAATTTCTGGGTACTTTAGCACATGCTGGAGTTATCAATTCAACCGCTGAATTGATTTTCCCTCTGGCATTTTCAGTAATTGCGGGTCATTATTTTCGTGACTAATTTACGGAGTTTATTAATCTGAATCGGGCTATTGTTGGCGAAGTTCGCGCTAACTTCTGGTTGATGGGCGTTCGTTTTGTCAAATTGATTGTTTTACAACAGCGCCTATTGGGCTGACAAAGTGGCTGATTGATAGTCTTCGCCGCCGGACAAAAAAATTATTCTATTTTAACGATTCATACTGCATACATTTGTTTTCTCTGTCCTTAGACACATAAGAAATATACTCTATCTGGATAAGTTTTCGTCGGTACCGTACATGCAAAAAAAAAAAATGTCTCATTCATTGAATATTTCAGCTATTCCGAAATAGAATGTCACAATAGAATGTCACGTTTGCTACAAAGCAGGCTTCTGATTTTGATGGACGTGAAATCAAATAGTTATCGCGCCATTCCAAATTGGGTTCTTGACCGATACATGGCACACTCACCCCGAACCCTGCGTTACATTTCAATTTTCGGTCATTTTCGATAAATTCGCTCTGATTTTACTGTCCCAGCTCGCGTGCCACGGGATCGTCCCATCATCTGACAGGAAACCGATCATTCAGTCTCTGACCTGGATTTTTACCGGTTGAAAACCGCAACCCACAGACTGCGCCGAATCATGCCGCAAACCGCGCCGGATCACGCCGCAAACCGCGCCAGATCACGCCGCAAACCGCGTCAAAGTGCGCCGCTAAGTGGTAGCGTGCGCGCTGCGCCGTCAATTGTCGCAGTTTCGGTGATCCGAGGGTGGTTGTTGACCTATAGTTTTATGCTGGGGAAAACCTATGCATAGTGGGTGTGCATTATTTTGATTGTGCGACCGTTATTTTACTCTTGTTTGTTTTACGTCACATGGGGTGGAGGACGCCTAGATTTGATGTTATTTTGTATCAGAAAGTCGTCAAAATTGCCAAAATCAGATCATTTCGGCTTGCCAACGCTGAAGTAGTTTTGCAGGCTAGGTGTCAAATAAGCTGTCGTGATGACACGTCAACGCAATGGCATGCGATGACGTGTGCTGACGGGCTGATGACGGCCTGATGACGGGATGATGACGGGGTGATGGCTCCCAATGACACCTATCCGTCATTTTATTACGGTATTGCGCCTCTTTCGTGACATCCAGGCCTGCCACAATTGTAGGACCATTGTCGGATCTCGTGACAAGCACGTGTCCTGTCTGTCCCAGATACTCCCTGCTCGCTAAGGTGCTTGGAATGGTGATTGGTGATGGTGATTTTGTAAATTTGACCAAAATAGGTAGGTACATGTCATAACAGTGAATGAAAATTGTGACATTGAATGCATGGCAGTCCTCAAAGTGCTATTTTCTGCACCAAATGTTCTGGAAAATATTTTATCACTCCGATAATACATAAAATAAGTGACAAATGTAGCCCACTTTTATATATTTGTATCTGCTAAAGTTCGCTTACGTGACTGTGACCAGAACTGCACGCTATGAATCTCATAAAATTTATAGTTGCTTCTAGTGCGGAGCTAATTTGGTGCTGCGGCTTGTGATTACGACTATGGCCATCTGTAACGGAAACTTTTCTTCTCTCTCTATCTCTATCTCTATCTCTATCTCTATCTCTATCTCTATCTCTATCTCTATCTCTCTATCTCTCTCCCTCTCTCTCTCTCTCTCTCTCTCTCTCTCTCTCTCTCTCTCTCTCTCTCCTTCTCTCTCTCTCTCTCTCTCTCTCTCTCTCTCTCTCTCTCTCTCTCTCTCTCTCTCTCTCTCTCTCTCTCTCTCTCTCTCTCTCTCTCTCTCTCTCTCTCTCTCTCTCTCTCTCTCTCCCACTGCAAAAATTACTGTGGCTCTGACTAGCCAGTACCCCCCACCGCCTACCGCTCTCCCATTGCGTGCCTCTACCCCGTCAGTGCACAACAAATGCGTGTCAACTAGGCCCCGCCCATCACGTCATGCCCCGCCCACTGCCCCTCAGGGCCGTCTGTACAGGTGTAATGACACCAGTGTATTGTGTTCAGCGGGATAGCTGTCATGCCGCGGCTCGGGATGCGGTCGTTTGTCTTCTATTGTGGTCGGAGAGTGGTTATCTGGCCATCAGGTGTGGATGGTGGGTATTTAGACCGATTTTTTTATTATTCTGTAGTGAAGTTTTGTATCATGATTTTGAAACTAAGTCCACTGCAAATTGCATGATAGATACATGTTATAGTTTGAGAGCATTATTTGGCGTAAGTTGTTTCTTAGAAATTAGGCTATTGGTCTCGAGCTTTGTTAAACGCTCGAATTGTTCTCGTAATCCAGTATACAGTCCATCACATTTTTCCCGAAGGTCATTCACATTTTTGTAATTTCAACTGCCAGCAAATCTTTAGGCACTCATTTTACTGAAAATAAATATTTCATACTGACTCAGTTCATCCATCTCATTTCAAGTTCCACTTTAGATTCCCCTAACGATTCTCCCCTCCATTGTTTCTACCCACACCTACATACATGTCACATCTCTCATCCAATCTCCCCTACCCCGACCTCCCCTCCCCATCTCCCTCAGTTGATAACGAACCCACTGCACCGCATAGTGATGAATGGTTCGTTCACACGCACAATGCACATACATATGCACGCACAATGCACACATACTGTAGATAGTGAGGGTTGTGTGATGTGAGTTGAGTTGCGTAGGGTTGGCTCCGCGTGCACTGTGCTCTTCGTACGAAAGCTTTTACGGTGGTTTATGTTGTGCTTGCTCATTTCTCGTTGTCCTCGCTTCCAACAACCTCGCTGGCTTCGTAGTTCTTTTTTTGTACGACCCGTTTGCATGCTTGCTTGCTTCTTGATGTTTTCGAAAAACTAATGTATTTCAGCTCCTTTTTACAGTTAACATTTCAGTTCATCATTTTCTTTAGATCTTTGAACTGTACCTGGTTGACTGGAATTCAGCGTTTTGCTGCGCACTAAACAACTGAGTCTTCATTGAAAAGTGTTTCCTTTTGTATGTAGCTAAGCCTTTGCTAGTGCATCACAGCCTTTTGCTGATAGGTTTTATTTATTCATTTGCGAACTCACTGAAAAAAATGTAGTTGTCACTTTTACGAGCTTTGCAACCAACCACCGATTGGCACTATGCATGTGTATACCCACCGTACTAAAACGTTTTCCCACTAACTCCCCGCCCATTTCCCTTACCAAGGATTTTCTGCATGCTGTGACGGACACCACTGACTCAAGTTCCCCTCTATACCGTGATACTGCTGTGAAGTCACCAGTGGTAGTGCAGAGGAGCCAACTGCACCACCGGCCACCTCGACGTGTAAGATGTCTTCTCAGAATGACACGTGCTTTGATGGGTGCGGGTATGGGGACTGGGTGTTATTTTGAAATGATTGTGGTTGCCATTGTGTTTGTCTACGAGTATGCTGTTTTGTGATGTTACTGTTTTGTCTGTGGACGGTGTGCATCAGCATTTGTTGATGCTTCTGTGCTCGCGTCTCATTGTTTTGTTGCTTTTGTGTTATGTTAGGTGTCTGTAAATTTGATGTAGGTACTATTGCCTACAAAAATATATCTACTGGCTATTACTGGTTGTTGCTGAGCCTCATTGGCCATATTGACCTGTTGTTATACCTATCATCTATTAGATACTGACCTCTTATGTCATCTTGTGACTTTTGCTCTCTCATCGCGACCTCTAGCACACCCAAAATCATCTACATTGATCTCGTTCGATCTTTCAGCAAACGGTTCACTTCTTGCAACCCTTGTTGATCCCTGTCCTTTTATGTTGTTGCAGAGAGCAGCCGGAAGGGCTGCCGTGGCGGCGGCCCACCCACGGTCCTTCACCAGAGCGTAAGTCGAAACAAACTGACTTGATGAATGCTAATCCGAGTCAGTCATGTAGGACATCTGATCATGTTTAGAAAGAGCTCTGATTCGCTTATGAAAATTATATGCTGTTGTGAAGAGAGCTTTAATCAACTAATCAAATCATCGTAATCCCCTTGTTGCTTTGCGCCTTCTTAGATCCAGCATTTTTTATTATTTCTTGATCATTATCATGAATCAATAGCTAATGCTACTGATTCTGTCAGTTTATCATTTAATTTCTCTATTCTCGGCAGTGTTTTAGACGGATACGACTCCGACTCTAATCTCGTGTTCAAACGGCGAGAGGTACAGCCGGATCCACCACCCGCTGAACAGCAGCGGTCACTGTACAGCCAAATCCAGCGTGGCGGGGACGTGCCAGTCGGAGGCCTGCGCAAACCGGCGCCGCAGAAACCGGCCGGTGAGTGGACGTGGGTTCGAATCCCGGAAGAGGCGGGTAGTTCTCTGGTGTGAATGATTTTTTCGTGATTGTTAACAAATTTGGACATTAATGGCGCATATAAGCAGCGAAAACAAATTGAATTGAATACGACCAACGCCCTTGGGGGATGCTTTAGTTACATGGTAATTGTGAGATTTCGGTCCAAAGTAAAATGTGATTGTCAAAATTATCATCAAATCTAATCAACCCCTCCATGAGGGACGTCATAAGCGCCCTAAAGCTACACATATTTTGTAATGTAACTGGTCTTCGATTTCCGATGCCGTTCAACTCTGTTCAGTGTTGTGACTGTTGTTGATAGCTGTAAATGAGCACATGTTTTTTTTTTACTCACGGCTGATCACCTAGTACACTTAAGCACCTACACACTCGCTGGCGTACCGGCTTTGGCTTGGTGCACTGCAATCACTTGTGACATAGCATGCGAGTGGGACGACTCAAATTATTTCTCAAATTTTACTATAAATTAAGCGCCGAACTGAAATTTACATGGTCCATACATAGCCCATCGGGCCATATAAATCCTACCCTCCCTCTTTTAAATGCAAACGTTAATAGTGTTATGGTAGGCGAAACAAGCTTTCTTTTCTAGTATTCTTGACTTCTTTGATTTCTGACAATCGTTTGTAAGAAAATATTTATATTATTTTTATCGATGAATAAGCACATTCCAGCGAATCATTTGCAGTGCTTTGGTTAAACTTTGATGGTGTGGCGAATTGGCAGCGTGGCTATGTCAACTTCTCTCCCATCAGCCCCTTCCCATCCCCAGTGCAGGGTTTTGTTTTCGTTGGCCCTTAGCCGCGAGGCAGTCCAGCCACATGGAACTGGTGGGACCGGCTGTCACTGGCGAGAGGAAAGAGGGGAGAGAGAGAGAGAGAGAGAGAGAGAGAGAGAGGAGAGAGAGAGAGGAGAGAGAGAGAGAGAGAGAGAGAGAGAGAGAGAGAGAGAGAGAGAGAGAGAGAGGAGAGAGAGAGAGAGAGAGAGAGAGAGAGAGAGAGAGAGAGAGAGAGAGAGAGAGAGAGAGAGAGAGAGAGAGAGAGAGAGAGAGAGAGTCCTTTGCGGATTTTATGGCATAGGTACTTGTGGAAGGCAATTTGGTTACGGGTAAACACGCTCGTGCAGTTATTAGGCAATCAAGTGATCAGAGGCGGATCCAGCTCAGAGGTTTGGGGGGGGGGGGCAAACCATAAAAATTTATCGATTCTTTCCATGCATCGTCCATAGGCGTAATGTTAAAATCATGCCGTTTGGGGGGGGGGGGCAAATGCCCATTTTGCCCCCCCCCTGGATCCGCCACTGCAAGTGATAATGAAGGTGAATGATGGGAGAATAAGGTTATAGCTATGGATATGTTGCAATAGGCTGTCTGCCGCTTCAAATAAAATAATAATTTTGAAATAAATGTCACGAATCAAATAACTAGTGGCAAGGGAAAAAACATTATTTGGGATTGGCACAGGTTTTCATTGGGTGCGCCTCAAATCAATATGTACGCGATGCAAAGTAAACACTGCTAAAAATGGTAATCCGCAAGAGTTCCCCAGTCTTATTCGTTGCAGAGCCTCAAATCAAATATTATCTATTTCTCGCAAACGCAATCCGCTTTCAAATGTCATCGCAAATGACACGCGTGAAACGTCATCGTTCAATTAACTTCCGACACTAGGGATAAATTTAGCCTGCGGCGGACGGTTGCCACTCCCCATCCCAGCGCCTGGAACCGCCTCTGTCAGTCGGCACGTGCCAAGACGGTCTGGGGCACCTCCATTCGGGAGACACGGAAGCCAGTAGTCGGCGTGCCGTTGAGTGGTGACAGATCGGCACCAGGTGCAGTGTTGGAGACCAGAAAGTGGAGTGGATTGGAGAAGCGAGTTGGGCGGAGTGTGAGTGAGGGAGAGAGTTGGAGTGGAATGAATTGTGAGTGAGAGTAGGGGTCACAGTGTACGACTTGTTTCCCCGGGTGGAAGGTGGAAACACTGACGGATATGTTCTGTCTTTTGACCGCATGATTGAACCCGAATGAACGTAAGGCTTTGACGAATAGGCAGTGTAGATGAGAAAGTCAAGTAATGTCAAAAATATTAGCGCTGCTCTGAAAAGTGTCGCAAATTTCGGCTGTATGTAGGATGTAATAGCTGTAGAGGTAAAGGAAACTAGGTATAGGGTAAGGTGCCTAATTAGCGACCCTTTCCGATTTGCGACCTACCTCCCTACAGAAAAACTGGCAGGAGAAAACGGGGTAAAAACATCGTCAAAAGGTCAGCCATACTTTGGTTATCAAATTAAATTATTTTCCGGTCGTCGATGTTTCTGGTGGGACGTTCCAGGTGAGTTTAAATAAAAATGACGAGTTTCTTATCCAAAACGTGTGTAGTTGGGCCCTCTCTGACGAAAAGCGATGCACATTAGGATGATGCACCTTCTTTATTCTTAATCGACATTCCTTTTTTAATTAATTGCCGTTTTCCCCTAGTGAATCGCTCAACTGTGCACAGCATGACGGTTAAAAATGTGTGGCAACTCATATTTCCTATTTGCGCCTGACATGGTCGCAAATAGCTCAAGAAGAGAAAGAAAGGGGAAAAGAGAGAAATGAAAATGAGGTGTTGGTGAAGCTTGCAATGTGTGGCAGGGGATGCCAAATGTCGTCACCGACTGCAAGGGTGCCGAATTCAGCGCGGACCTCGAATATCATACAAGATAGCTCGCAAAATTTGGGTTTCCGCCTTCTTTTCGCCTTCGGTGCATCACGTGATCAGTTTTTACTTACGTAAATGTGTTGGATAAACGTTCCTGTTCGAGTAATTGAGTGCTTTGCGTATAGGCTACCTTTTTTGAGATCATATTTCATCTTTTCAGGCGTCGCATTTTTTGCCATTTTTAACATGGGGAAACCCATAGACTTATTAGCGACCCTCCCCGGTCGCTAATCGGGAAGAGTTCCCTATTAGCGTTTTTTGCAATGGTTTGCCAAAATGCTCACTACAAATAAGTTAGTGAATATTGGGGCAGAAAATGACTATATTTTAATAGAAAAATGAACGATCTCTCCGAAAATCAAGCCAGTAACACAGTGGCACCTACAGAGCGTGAGCAATGACGGTTCAAATTAAGTGGGTCGCTAATTAGGCACCTTACCCTACATTATAAAACATTAGCAGCATGATAAAATGTCAAAAAGACAATGCCTAGGCAAGCTGAAAAATTTCAAAGCACTTTGTTTTGAAAGTAGGTATCCCAAATGTATCAGTTACTTCAGACATTTTTTGTGGCAAAACCTAACGTTTTTATCGTAAAAAATCATCAACGGAGCCGTAAAAAAAATCATCAACGGAGCAGGTGAGTGCTATTTGTGTTGGCTCTTGACCAATAAACGTCACAGTTGCACCGGTCTGTCACTGACGGGACCTCACTGCGCATGCGTCACAGCAACCATCACGCCACTTGTTGACAGCCAGACTGTCATGAAATCACAGTATCATCCTCATCTCTCCTCGCCTCTTTCCCGCATCTTTCAGCCCTTCTCGACGCACAACTGAAACGGTGAATTGCACAGGGTTCAAATGTCAGTGGTGGCTTTGCTGTCAAACCAGTTTGGCACCTCTGTCTAGAAGAAGATGGGAGAATGGGTGTCTGTAAGACCGTGGTTTTGGAGCACCTGAACGGCTGCGACATGCTACTTCCCCATCTGAGGACTCTTTCCGAGGTTGTGGGGTGGTTCACTAAAGATGGTGTGCAAGTTGATTGGTCAACTTCCGTTGCCTGTTCAACTGTACGCTTGGTGGTGGTTGTTCGCGCTGACAATGCTCATTCTCGTCTTATCCATAGGCATCGCAGGTGATGGGCTCAGATCTCAATTTGCACTGGCTGGTCTCACGTTTTCCCAACTCTTCGTCCTGTTGCAAAGATTGACTTTGCCACTGTGAGAGTTGGTATTGAATCCATGGACTGACAGAAGGTCGTTGCACGGCGAAGGGACGGCATGGATAAACTGGTGGCTTACGAGAAGTGGTGGAGTTACATCCAATCACTTGCACATCTGCACTGAGTCTTCTTCTTCTGCGGGGTCTAGATATTCTCCGGCACTGGCTGCGTGTGATGTTGGGTTTTGGGCACATAAATCTGCCCCAGACTTCTGCACATGGGGATGTTTCTGTCTTCGTTTTTTTTATTCAGGTTAATTTTTCGTTTAAGTCTTTGTTTTGTTTCATGCCATCTGTTGCCATCTTTCATATTTTGAATTCTCTTCCTCCTCGTATGTTCTTTCTCTCTTTCTCTTATATGGTTTCTTCATATGATTATTTTACCTTCTAACGACCGCTTTTGTTTTGTTCTCTGTTACTATTTCACAGAAGCAGCCTGACTGATCCTGAGGCGTCCAACAGAGTCGTCCCAACCGCCTGGTGATGTCAGTTTATCGAGAGAACCCGCTGTATCTCTCACTCGAAGAACCCGCATACCCTTCACTTCCCTTCAGCGGTACCTCTATACCGCTGTACTCGGTACCACACCGCGCTGTACCCCCTCTGTACAGCGTACCACATCGCGACCGACCAGTGTACCCTCCCCTCTACTCAACCTTCAGTCGTTCTGAACGCTTCGCTGGGGAAGAACCTCAGGAATCCCACCCGACGGAACACGAGAGGTCGGAGTCTGAGGGACGTCACAGAAGACGTGTGAAGTACACGAGAACAAGGGTGACGATGTCTGTAAGGCATCGTCCACACGATGCTTCCAGCGAGCGTGGGGAGCGTGACAACAGACGAGGAAGGGGTGATGAGGGTGAGGACCATCCGTCGCCTCCTCGGAGGCTCCAGTCACGCTGGAATCCAACTCTGGTACGCTGGAGTCAAACTGTTCGCAGTGGTGGCAGGGGGAGATCTTCTTCGCCTAGCAAGAGCTCTCCTGGAAGGTCTTCCTCACCCGGACGTCGGAGGGATCGAGGCACCGGAGCT